AGACCTCGGGGAGAGGTGTGATCAGACCGGCATTTGCCGAGCCTCCACAGTCCTGAAGAGAAAGCACACATGACATGGGAGTAAGAGGTGAGTAAGGAGCAGAGCAGGGACCAGACAGCAATTCACAGATCACAGATCCTTGGAAATATTCAAGTAGGACAGTCCAGGCCTGGAGATCCTCTGGGTGCATCAATTACGGTCTCCATTTGTTATATATCTATGAAGTTCCTCTTCTGCAATTTATATGAATTTGTCATTATTTTGTCAAACAGCTTTTACTGAAAACATAAAAAACATATTATTAAGCTTTATTGTCTTTAGCTCGGGTTCATGAGAAATGAATCCCCGTGTTGGGAGGTCCCCTAACCTTGTTAGTCCACGGCTTCTCAATTAAGCCCCAAGTGGAATCTTCCATATATAAGCTGGGGTAGATGTTCTTCTTGAAAGATCTAGTGCATCAGGGGAAAATAATCTGAACAATTACTATTGCAGCAATCACAGGTATCCTTAGAAAAAGCAGGTGTTTCTGCCATTGAAATCCCAGTAAAAGGGGGGGGGAGGGGGGAAACTACACACATATATACATATTGTGTATGTTTGTCTGTGTGTACACATACTTCCACAAACAGCAGAAGGTACAGTATTTGTACAAGGCAAACTTGAATTTAATCTGTTTTTGTTTCTCAATTATTAAAAGATATTATCACCCCAAACAAACGAATGTGAGCAGAGTTTTTCTTTACTTTGTCCACCCCCATAACAGAAGGCTGTTCTGGCACGAGTGGCTCATGTAAATAATCTAGCATTTATGAAATATACTGTATTATACAGAAATGTAATCTTTAGAAAATATTTTGTCAATCTTAGTAGCACACACTGAGCAGAAGGTTTAAGTTATGCAAAAAGAGCATGTTCGGGAAGGAAAAAAAATGTCAGACTTCATGCGGCAGAAAGAAATTAATATTCAAAAGGTTAAGGTGTCTGTGAAATGTATGTAATGAGTAACACTTATAGTTTGTTACTATAGGTTCATTGCTTCTAATGTTGAGGACTGCACATGGATAATTTACGATTCCCATTGTCCCCTCTGCAGGGATTAATTCTGAATTATTTATGTACTTATATGCTCACAGAACTGAAACATTTTAGTTAAAGTCAGTCATTCAATCAGAGCCCAGAAATGATGCATCCCTTCGTGCTAAAACTGATGTTAGCCTCCTGTGATTTAAGTCATAACATTTTATTTTCAATTCCACCGAGAGAAGCAGTACATAATAGTAAAATATATACATTTAACTTTCAAATAATAAAATATGTATTTTGTAACTTCAAATAACCTGTACGCGTTCTTTTCAGCTGTACTCAAACATAAGCTAAATCTGAATTTTTGATTTAAGAATACCTTCAGATTTACGAGATGGCATTATTTTTCCATATCATACCGTTCATCGGTCTGCAGCTTCAATACTACATAATTTTAAGAATTTTTTTTTTTAAGTTTTTTTTTTTCTTGCTGTACATAAGCTGGGGTGCCAGTGAGTCTGTTCTCTAACATGTAGAGTTTATGTAAATTAAAACTCTCACCACACTCAGCCAAGCCCTGAGACCAATATACCCACATTCACCTATCCTCCCACTTGCAAACATATTCTTGTTGGTGATATTTATTAATTGGGTGGATTTCAGTATATTGTGGTAAAAATCATGTCACTTTTACTTTATTTCACATTTTCGAGTCACACTGTGAATTACCGTTTTGCTGTTTTGCACTGTACGACGTCCTACCGTGCAGCGCGGCTTTTGAAACCATGTTCTGCCCATTAAAATTTATATATAGAACATTAAGCTCCCTAGGGGTGCATCTTTCAGTATGATTACAAACTGAAATAAAGATAATGAATAACAATTTTAGCTTTTTTAACATTTTCTTATTTGTTGGGTTAATCCAAGCACCATAACCACTTCAGTGATTTAAAGTGGTCATGGTGCATGGGGTCGTATGTGCAGTGTTTTAGTTTTCAATGCGGAGCTCAATTCTGTGCATGTTTGGCACCTGTCATCAGCATGTATAGCATGCTGGCAACAGACAACTAATGGTGGCACGGCCCCACCTCAGTGTCGTCCAAATTATCCCCTCAGCTCATGCTCCAGAATGTTCCTCCCCCTGCAGTAGAAGGGGTGATATCACCAGAGAGGTATCAGGCTGCCTGGAGAACCTGCCCTCAGTGTGGGATCTATGCTGTCTATCCTTTTTTCCTTATTATTTTTCATTTATACAAGTGAGGGGCGGGGGAGCTAGTAAGGGTTACTCTAACCAAAAAACAGTATGTCGCATAAGATGAAAATTATAAATGGGTGCGTTGCTATAGTTTTTAAAAATACATTGGAGAACTTTCAAACTTAACCTGAAAGTAAATTTTCACTAGTGAAGAGTCCAGCACATTGGAGCTGAGAATGCTGAATGCAATACAGGAGGCTGGAATCCAATTAGATGAAGGTTAAAACAACTGCCTTATGTTATAATGAGCGAAGGAATGGACGCATTATATTTTAGTTACTGATTGTGTTAGCAAATGGGCCGATACTGAATATGTTAGACAGTTGGCATGATTTGGAGGAGCATGTAATGAAGTAGAGAGAAGTGTCAAGAGTAGTATCTAAGAACATTCTTGTTATGGCTCTTCTGACTACTCCAAACAGTTAATGAGCTCATTCTATGACTACCTTACATATCTCCATAGTTAACGTGTTAATATGCAGAACTCTAAGACTTACAGTTAACTAAGGATGTGCATGGACGTGATGTGGATTTAAGGCTTATTAGTGATAACAATAGCTGTTCAATTATTTTCTGATTGTTTGTAATTGTTTTTTCTTTACTAAATCCCAACAGAACCATCAGCTAAAACCAGGCAGAACCATCAACAGAAGCTTTGTTAGAGAGCAGGGGCCTCAACACCCTCTGTTCCCGTGCATCCAATGTGCTCTTGTTGCAAATGCTCGTCTCTTAGTCCAGCCATTATACAGACTTGCAGCGTTTGTTGGTGCTTTAACCAAGGACTGAGCCAAATGTACACGTTTTGATCAAAATAAAACGTAAACATAACTTGGAATTTGACTATATGTCTGTTCAATCGTAATTCAACTCTTTCATATTTAGTGCACCCACACTTATTATATAACATTTTATTCAAGATAAATTGGGCTTTTATTTAACATCAAATATGTAGCTATGAAACACAATTTAATATGAATAAAATATAAAAAATGTGAAAAATTAAGAAATGTTATTTTTTTAGCATTTTAACTGTAAATGTCATAATACTGTTTGCTTTTACTGCAATAAAATACACATATTTTCATTCAGCGATGTGTCACCTGTAAAACAGTACCCCCTATGTACAGGTTTTATGGTGTTTTGGGAAGGTACAGGGTCAAATATTGCATGTTACATTTTTCAGTTTTTTCACATTGAAATTCGCCAGATTGGTTATGTTGCCTTTGAGACAGTGTGGTAGCCCAGGAATGAGAATTACCCCCATGATGGCATAGCATTTGCAAAAGTAGACAACCCAAGGTATTGCAGATGGGGTATGTCCAGTTTTTTTTAGTAGCCACTTAGTCACAAACACTGGCCAAAGTTAGTGTTAATATTTGTGTGTGAAAAATACAAAAAAAACTAATTTGAACGCCAATTTTGGCCACTGTTTGTGACTAAGTGGCTACTAAAAAAGACTGGACATACCCCATTTGCAATACCTTGGGTTGTCTACTTTTGCAAATGGTATGCCATCATGGGGGGTAATTCTCATTCCTGGGCTACCATACGGTCTCAAAGGCAACGTAACTAATCTGTCGAATTTCAGTGTGAAAAAACTGAAACACAAGCCTTATATTTGACTCTGTAATATTTGAAAACACCATAAAACCTGTACATGAGGGCTACTGTTATACTCAGGAGACTTCACTGAAAACAAATATTAGTGTTTCAAAACCGTAATACGTATCACAACAATTATATAATCAGTGTAAGTGCCATTTGTGCATGAAAAATGCAAAAAAAATAACTTTCCCTGATGATATCGTCATTGTAATACATTTTAATGTTTTGAAGAACTAATATTTGTGTTCAGCGAAGTCTCCCAAGTAGAACAGTGCCCCCCATGTACAGGTTTTTATGGTGTCTTGGAAAGTTACAGGGTTAAACATAGCTAGCTAGCAAATTAATTCTCTGGACTTTCTGCCTGGTTTATCAGGCAGATCCCGTAAATTGTAATTAATAAAATGACTTAATTATGTAAAAATATTACATAAATATATACGTAGAATTAGAATATACATATATATATATATATATTTATATATATATATATATATAAAAATAAAATTATTTTTATTTATATATAGGTAAATATATAGTGACATATACATATATATTTATGTATAGATATATATATATATATATATATATATGATCTAAGTATATATAATTTTATTTTACACTGTGTTTTAACTTTTATTTAACTTTTTTAAGGCAGCAGGGGTACTACGTGTTATTCCAGGCACTCCTCCTGCTAGCACTGCTATAGACGGCTATTTCGTCCATGTGATCGTGAGGTCCTCGCAAGGACCATGCGATCAGATGGCCCAGGAGGGCCAGCGAAGGGGTTGCCAGCGAGCAGTAAGTGGCCAGGACGGCGAGGACGTACTATGTTGCTCGCCAGCGTTTAGAGCCGGTTCCCCGAGGATGGCACCGGACCGCCATCCTTAAGTGGTTAAATAAAAAAAACACAATAATAATAAATAATGAAGAAAAAACTAAAACAAATGACAATGTAGCTGGTAATTATTTTAATAACATAATTTAAACTTAATATTTTCAAAAGATTTGTGGCCACAATCCACAATATAAATATGGGAAAATGTATATTTCCATGGGGAAAAAAGGAAAATACTTCTCAAATTTTGCTTCCCTATGGCTCCAACCAAACTGTTGCACAGCTAGACTAAACAATGAAAATGTATAGAATAAATGTATGCAACTGGAGGTTGTGTTTGAAACAGTGATGCTTTGTGTCCTTGAATGACGTCATATTACTTAATCACTTATTACTGTGACATGCCATGATGTCATCAAGCACAATTCTTTAATCTGCATTGTTCCTAAATCTCCAATAAACATTTTGGTAAAAAGATACAAATTGAATGTCTCAAGATTCATAAAGAATTTTTGCACATAGTTTATTAACCCCTTAAGTACACAACTTCTGGAATAAAAGGGAATCGACAGAATATTTCCGTCATGTGTCCTTAAGGGGTTAAAACCTTTTCTTCTAAATTTTTGTTCCCTTTTATTAAAAAAAATGTTCAGTATATGAGTAGCTATAACTTGAGTGTAGTGAGCAGGTTTTTTGGATGGAGAAATATGAGTAATTTTCTCGTTCTTGTTGATTAGAAAAATGGACATGTCTTTTATTGGAAAGGGTGCAGAGGCGGGCTACAAAATTAATAAAAGGAATGGTACATATCACCTATGAAGAAAGGTTAACAAATTTAAACCTATTTAGTTTAGAAAAACGTTGCCTGAGAGGGGATATGATAACATTATACAAATATATTCAGTGCCAATACAAACCATTGTGTGGAAATCTATTCACAAACCGGACGTTACATAGGACACAAGGTCATGTGTTTAGACAGGAAGAAAGATTTCGTCTAAGGCAAAGGAAAGGTTTTTTTACTGTAAGAACAATAAGGATGTGGAATTCTCTGCCTGAAGAAATGGTTTTATCAGAGTCCGTACAGATGTTCAAACAGCTACTAATGCATACTTGCAAAAACAGAATATTCAAGGATATAATCTTTCAATGTAGGGTAATAACTGCTTGATCCAAGGATAAATCTGACTGCCATTCTGGGGTCAAGAAGGATTTATTTTCCTAGCTTGTTGCAAAATTGGAAGTGCTTCAAACTGTTTTTTTTTTGCCTTCTTTTGGACCAACAGCAAAAAACAAATGTGAGGTAGGCTGAACTTGATGGACGCAAGCCTCTTTTCAGCTATGTAACTATGTAACTATGAAAATGAATGACTACATGTAGGATATCCTCTTTAAATATTGTTTTTTTTCAGTGCATACCCTATAACTGTCACTGGGAAATGAACTTTATAAAGGTAGTACTAGCAGTGTAAAAGTAGCCTGCAATGACTTTAATGTGTGACGTGTTATTGATATTGGCCAATGTATTGAATTTCCCCATATTTTGATAAGGTGAGGATATATACACTGATCAGTCACAACATTAAAACCACAGACAGGTGAAGTGAATAACATTGATTATATTGTTATAATGGCACCTTTCAAGGGTTGGAAATATTAGGCTGCAAGTAAACAGTCAGTTCTTGAATTTCATGTATTGGAAGCAGGAAATATGAAGAAAGTGAAAAGATCTCAGTGACTTTGACAAGGGCCAAGTAGTAATGGCTAGACAATTGTGTCAGAGCATCTCCAAAATGACAATACTGTGGGGTGTTCCCAGTGTGCAATGGTTAGTACCAACCAAAAGTGGTGCATTGATGCAAATGGGGAACAAAGGCAAGCTTGTCCAGTACGATCACACAAAAGAGATACTGTAGCTCAGATTGTTGAAAAACTTAATGCTGGCCATGATGAAAGTTGTCAGAATATACAGTGCATTGCAGTTTGCTGCCTATGGGGCTGTGTAGCCAGAGTGCCCATGATGACTCCTGACTCACTGATATAGCCTTTACTGGGGGCTTTAGCTGCAGGACTGGACTATGCAGCAATGGAAGAAGATGGCCTGGTCCGATTAATCCTGTTTTCTTTTAGATCAGGTGGAAGGCCAGGTGAGGTATGTCATTAAACTGGAAAGAGATGACTGCAGGGTGTCCTATGGGAAAAAAATCAAGAGGCAGTATTAAGGTCTGGGCGATGTTCTGCTGGGAAACCTTGGTCCTGGCATTCTTGTGGATGTAACACCTACCTATAGATTGTTTCAGACCATTCACTTCCCTTCATGGCAATGGTGTTTCCGGCTAGCATTGGTCTCTTTCAGCAGGATAAAGCACCTTGCCAAACTGACATAATTTTTAGGAATGGTTTGTGGAACATGACAAAGAGTTCACGGTGTTGCCTTGGCCTCCAAATTTCCAAGATCTCAAGCTGCTTGAGCATCTGTGGGACGTGCTTGAATAACAAATCTGATCCATCTAGACACCACCTTGCAACTTGCAGGACTTAATGATCTGCTGCTAATGTCTTGGTGCCAGATACCACAGGACACATTCAGATGTTTTGTGGAGTCCATGTCTCCACAAATCAGAGCTGCTGTGGCAGGATTAGGGGGACCTCTATGATATTAGGCATGTAGTGGCTGGTCAGTGTTTGATTCCTATAACATATTGGTTTATTATAATTAGAAAAAGTCTCCTACTTGGTTAATTTAATGGAGAATAAAAATGATACAAAGAATAAATTACTTGGATTGATAAATACTTGTAATAATGAGTATAATATGCATTGTCATTATTTATTTTGATACACCCATACTTCTTTTTTTGTTAATATATGTGTTTATTCTATTATTTATATTCTCTTTATTGATTTAAGATTGTTTTGTTAACTACTATCAATAGTTATAAAGGCAAAGGTTTAGAGCAGGACTGGCCAAATGTTAGATTGCCAGATGATCTAGAACTTCAACTGCTATGATGGTTTGCCAGTGTTTAGAATGGCAAACCATAATGGACGATACAGTTCTATAACATCTGGGGATCTACTTTTTGCCCAGCCCTAGTTTAGAGAGCACCCTGTTCCCTTAATTGTGGCTGAATATATAGTCAGTGGCTTAAGAGACTGCTCCACGCAGTCTGGTTCAGGAATTCATGGACAGAGAGGATATTTTACTTCCTCATTACCTGCCTCAGATCTGTGTATATAGTGAGTATTGCATACAATCGTAAATTTCTCTTTTCCTTAGGAGAAAGTCATAGCTGTGGAAGCATGCATTCAGCATTTTGAGAGATCATTGCACCCTGCTGCTGGCCGTATATAAAACATATAGAATGAATGTAAATATGTGTGATGTATAAACTATGTATCCAATAAAACCTGGATGGATTGGAGTGTATAAGATAATAAGAACATAATTAGCTATAGGTGCTTTAAAGGACCACTATAGTGCCAGGAAAACAAACTTGTTTTCCTGGCACTATAGGGTACTCCCTACCCTCAGGGTCCACCTCCCGCCAGGCTCAAGAGGGGTTAAGGGGTTAAACACTTACCTTTCTCCAGTGCCAGGCTCCCTTGGCGCTGGGGACTCTCCTCCATCTTCCGACGTGCGCATTCAATCAGTCCATAGGAAAGCATTTCTCAATGCTTTCCTATGGACGGCAGCATCTTCTCACTGTGAAAATCAATGAGACAGCCACTAGAGGCTGGATTAACCCTAATGTAAACACACTTCTCTGAAACTGCTATGTTTACAGCTGCAGGGTTAACCCTAGATGGACCTGGCACCCAGACCGCTTCATTGAGCGAAAGTGGTCTGGGTGCCTATAGTGGTCCTTTGAAGGTAATTATATATTTTTCTTATATTATTATTTTTTCTTTTTTAAATGCTTTATAAAATGGGTGCGATTCCTGCCTTTTGTGTCCCTTTAAGTTCATGGAGTGTCTCTCTGATTTACAATGGGCCTCATATCCTTCTTAGAACTTACTAGAGTATCCTTAGATCAATCCCTAACTGAAAGATATGTTTTACAACTAATTGATAAATACAACACTATATTGTAGCCAGACCATGCCCATAACAACCCAGCCTTCACAAACCTTTCTTACAAAGAGGTTCAGGGAATTTGATAACTAACAATATTGTCTTACCCAATTCTAGATCAACCGAGATTTGTTCGTGAGCATTAAGCCTCAGATAACACCAATAAAGTCCTCAACATCATGACGAATTTTTCATCAACTCTTGTCGTGGAGAATATTCCGTTGCTTAAATTTAAAAGACAAAAAGGGAAATGAAAAACATATATTATGTTAAAAAAATAATTTGGAATATATTAAACTAATCTGCCCAATGAGAACTTCTAAATGTATGTAAACACACATACATAGATATAATAAATGCTTAGCACAAATATTAAACATGTTTGTTTTATAGTCTTCTTATTACCGTGTGTAACAAGCAGGACATAGAGCACAGTGCCACTAGAACACAGACATGGGTAGTTAACGACAGTGAAACAGCTGCAATGAACAGTATTTTAACTCGGCATGTTAACCTTAGTGTCTGTCAGCTGTGACCTTTTACCAACCCCGAGCATGATTTCTCACTTTGCTGCTCCCTGCTGCATGAACGAATGTGGAATTTGACAGTCGAGGGTTTTACATGAAAAGGGAAAGTACTTTAAAAGCATGTTTTGTGATGATAGACTACATTTATACTGTGTTCATTACACTCCGCACAGCAGCCACATTGGTGAATTGATTGAGTGTGAGTAGCTTGCATTCGGTGGATGCAAAAAAGTCGTTATTGACCTGTTTGGGAGCTGGAGTGACCTTACAATGACTCCCCTTTTCACCTGAAATTGACCTTGCAGGTAACCTCGATTTCACCCCATATCTAATAATATAAGAGCTCATGGAAGCAAGGCTTGCTCTGTTTATGTGCTATATAAATCTATAGATAGATAGACACCATAGTAAGGGTTATTGCAACTGACATATTGACCATTTATTTTTCATCTTTTAAATAAGTTTGTGCTTGCGGGCTGCATAAGGTCAGTTGATTTTACAGCTGTGATACATGTTGTGCACATATAGATTTAGAGAGAGAGCTAAATGCACCTCATTTCTCGATGTTATGTTTTTTAATTTGAATGAAGCCTGTGTATGGGATACAACAATTACATCTAAGCACACATTTAATCTATGGCTATACATCACTCAGGGCCAGCGCCACCGTTAGGCGAACTAGGCATTTGCCTAGGGTGCCGGCCTGCTAGGGGCGCCCACAAGAATATAATATCCTGGTTGGCTTCCCCTGTCCTGACCCCCTATCCTGAGCTGCAGGATATTATATCCTGGTGGGCTCCCCCTGTTCTGAGCCACAGTGCTGGGCGAGAGGATCTAAAGCCTGCCATCTGCTTACCCTGATGGCAGGTGCCTGCTCTGCCAATGAGAGGAGGCAGGCAGCAGTGTGGGCGGTGAGTGAG